ATAGTGATATAGTCTGTTATTTCTACAAAATGAAGGTACACAAGAAAAAAGACTGCCAAACTGGCAGGACAGGAACAAATTAGTTGCTACAAATCAGAATGGACAACATGGTAATTCTAGTGAAACTAGTCTTGTAGAAGAAGATTACAGTGATTGAGATCTTTTGGTTGTTTCTGACGGTGACTTTAAACCTGACGATGATTGAATTCTTGATATGACTTGCACCTTTCATATATGTCCAAATAGAGATTGGTTTGCAACATATGAAATTGTTATAAGGGGTTTTGTGATAATGAGAAATAATTCTTCTTCTAGGATAGTTGGAATTGACAATGTCAGAATCAAGATGTTCGACGAGACGGTTAGAACACTTGGAGATGTGATACATGTTTTAGACTTGAAGTAAAATGTTATTTCCTTGAGTACTCTTGATTCAAAGGGGTACACGTATACTAGTAGAGGTAGAGTTCTGAAAGTTAGAAAGGGTGCCGAGTTGTTATAAAAGGGCAGAGGAAGTCCTAATTATACGTCTTGCAAGGTTCTACAATCACAGTTGATGAAGCTATCGCCAAAGGAGATGTTAGACTTCAGGAGAGGTTTGTTAAGGCTAATATGGTTGCTTATGGTTTGATAAGTGTTGGCTTAGATATAGCTGGTAGTGATTGGATTGCTCGTGGGGATAATTCAAGCAGGTTTGGTAATTTAGGTGGAGTTGGTTGTAAACGAGATGATTCAAATAGGTTTGGGGGAAAAAATAGTTCTACTGATAAATAAAGCTTGGATTTTGTTCACAATTGTTGAGTATGCCCAGAGGGACATGGTCAAAAAAGTGGAGTTTAGTACTCTATTTGGAGAATTATCTAAAGAATAATTCCTTGTATTGGAATTCGTATCATGGTGGAGATTGTTAGAGTATGACCAAAATTCCTATTGGGATTAGATTTGGTTGGTTAATTGATAAAATGAATAAAAATCTTCTTGGTCTGGAAGTTCAATTGAAAAAGGGATCAAAGTTCATCAACGATTGGAAGTTTGATTGGTAAAAGGACTTTGGATAATTGAAGACTTGATTTTTGAGTTTTGGACAGCAAGCCAGCGTCCAAGCGCTTGGTTCGGGGAGCCTAGGCACCCATAACGAAATAAAAGTTGAAAATTGCCTCGAGACGTAGGGCCCAGACGCCATGGTCACAACAGCCAAGCGCCACGATCGTTGCTCGCTTCCCACGAGCCTGCTGCTCAAACGATAGAGTTTGGGCATGACTCATTTTTTTATTTGCGATTCATTTCTTGTATTGTATTTCTTCCAAAAAACTTATAATGAGTTCCCATATATACTCCACGCGGTGTAGGCTCTTCAAGGGCTTGAATAAGATAGCAAAACATTGTTTAACATTGAGAGAATATCAAAGTGAGAAAATCTAGGTTATAGAGAGAAAGATCCACATATTTTGAGATAAGCTGAAAGTCTTACGAGATCGTTTTGTACTTTTTTGCTATTAATCATAGTGAATTCCTTGTTTGTGTCTGTAATTTTTTCCCGAATTTGGGTTATTCTAATTTGGCTTGTTTTACAATAGTTAGATTGGTTGTTGGACGGTAACTTTGGTTAAAATTCTCGAGTTTAAGAATCTCATTCACTAACGGTATAAATTAATTTTTAATTAATAATTTGATGGTATACATTAATGTTGTCAGATCGACCATACTTAACATTTATTCCATATTTGTCTTCCGTTCATTCAAAACTCTTTTTTTCTATATACTCATTTTCAATCACACATTCACATAATAAAATATTCTACACATAAATTAAAACTTTTTAACTACACAATCTCCAAAAATTCACTATTTAAAACAATATTTTTTTCAAAAAAATAACCACCAAACAAGGTTTAAATTAGTGAAGTTTCCACAAACATTATTCTCATGTAATTGGTCTTGGGATAATAAGGCCTAGAATTTGACTCCTACACATGTTGAGCTATTGTACATAAGAAAATGGGTCTTTGCTATATTAATACAAAGATCCATATAATTATTGCGCATATGTTGAAAAAATGGAGAGAGGTTCCATTGGTTCGCAATACTTTTTATTTACCACGTAATGATATAAAGTAGGTCAAATTCTATTAGACTCGCGAGTCACATGACTCTAGGTCTAATCAAAATAAACATTTAGCTCATGTTTAGTATAGATTAAAATCAGATTTTTAATAGATTATAATAGAATCATATTAAAATTAGATATATTGGTCGACGCAACTTATTTTACCTCGTAATAGCATTTCTATATCATTTGATTTATACATACGAACAAAATGGTTACCAAATTCAAACCAACAAAAAAAAAACTTCTAATTTCTACCATAGACATGTGCAAGCAATGTTAACAAAATGTAAAAGAAAAGATAAAGAGAAAAGATAAGAAGAAGGTACCAATCTTTCATCCTCTTTCTCTCCCTCTCTTTTTTCTTTTCTTTATTCATTTTTTCTTTCTTCTTCCTTTTTTGAATGTAGTTTTTTCCAAAAGTATGAACACTCAAGAGAAATTAAAGGGCCATTTCGTTAATTATACTAGTATTTCTTGAGATTTTACTATTCAATTGCACTATTAAAATCACAAATTGTGGTTGGAAAACTTAATCGTCCTTACTCAAATTTGCATCTAACGAACTCTAATGTTATTCTATGTGTCTTTATGTGGATTTGTAACCCAATCTATTCATCTTGTTTAGTTGGAAGTCAAATTGGAGTTGAAATGAGATCTATCCGACAAGTTCAGTAGATTTTGATCGATTTTCACCAATACAATTATCTACCCATAAAAAAAAAAAAAGAAGAAGAATATCAAATTATAATAAATTATGATTTTGAACATTTTATAAGTTCATTGAACTAATTACCTAAAAGTAAGATTATTTTCCCCATGTTAGTTGCAGTGGAAAATCCAACCATCAACAGAACAAACAATTTCGAGAATATTTACATGCCAAAAAGGGGCACTGGGGCAGGAACTCTCTTCTTTTACATCTAACGCTCAAATTGATGTTTGTATGAAATTGTACAAAAAAAAAAAGAGTAAATTATATATTTTTGAATTTTTATTCACAATTAATAGCTGATCTCCAAGATTTAAGAATCCAAATCTATCATCTTCATCTCCATGTCCTCTTGACTGTCATTACAATCAAATTTTGACACATCACCATGTTATATTAAAATCCTAACACTTCAGAACTATATTGGCATCAAAATTTAATAGCGACGGACAAATTTTGACACGTTAATATGTCCCACTTAAATCCCAACACGTCAAAATTATAGTAACATCAAAATTTGATGGTGGAGGACATGAAATATGGACAACGGGCGGAACTTGAAAGTGTTAATAAACAAGTTTAATTATAAGTGAGTAGTATTTGTAACTCTCACGGAATGTTTTGATATAACAAAAGTGATTTGTGCGACTACGAATAATTTATAAACGTTAGTCAAGCATGAACCAAGTCGAACATCGATGTCAATTTCGACTCGATTCGAAACCAAATTTGATCAACTTACTCTAGTGAGTAGTAAATAAAAACGAAGAAAATCATTTACAATACAATTATAATTTCAAGCTTTTTAAACTAACTTGCCAGGAATAAAACTATCTAGCGTCTAAAAATCATTTGCTAACAACAAAACATGGAATTCACGGGATAGGACAAGACAAATATTAAATTCGACTTGGTTGTTTCACAACGTTTTCACGCATTGAAAAAAAATGAAAGAAGAGAAAAAAAAGAGATACATACTCTGAATGGATGACCAAACGTCGTATCTGCTCACCCACCGTCTGATTTTGCAATTAAGAAAAAGATCTTTCTCCATAACGTGGCACAAATGTAAGGACCCTGGATCCACAGTCTTCAAAAAGCCAAATATTCAGAACAAGAAGAAATTATAAATATCCCATTTGGCTCACCGAAAGGGACGATTCAGCAAGACTCTCATTGCATAATTTTGGGACACCTGTTTCGACAATGATTGTTCTGTGGGACCCACTTGTCAGAATTTTAACGTAGGTTGTTCTGTTTCATTGAAATGCTTTTTTGAGTTTTTCTTGCTTTCGTAACAACTGGGATGGGAGTATCATTCTTTGGTTGACACATAATTGTTTATTTTTCTTTAGGAGTTAAAGAAAAGATCCATTTAGGTATAGGTGTCAATATAGCACTGTTTTGGAACGGTAAGCAACTTTCTTCCTTGAATTATTGAGTCATTTTTTATGGGCACCCAGTCAGTTGTATATTCATTTTTCTCTCAGACTGATTGAAAAATGATAGGTGTTGCAGATATTGTGTGGAGAAACTTTTGACTGATGTGATCAAAGTTTAGATTTTTAACACTTAAAGGTGTAAAAATCAAGAGAGGACTAGTTTAAATGCAGATATACAATGTCTTTTTTCTTTTTAACTTGAGAGAAAACAAGATATCTGATCTTTTGTAGTGACTTGTAAGTTTTATATTTCTGGTTTGTTTGCTTTGTTTTAGTTTGTTTAATTGAATTAAAAGATATTAATTAAGCTGATTAAGTTTTGTTGTTATGATTAGATTGCTCGATGATTTCTGGATATAGAGGAATCTAATAATAGAAATCATGAAGATGCTAAGTGGTGTCTTGAGAATTTTCTTGTAGAAGTCTTTTGTAAATTGATTCCCTTTATCTGGAAGTTTTGGTTCAGATTCTCTTGTTGATCTCCCTTTTTAACTTTCATTTCTCCTTAGTCTTTAGCATTGGGGTTCTTTATTATTTTATTCTCCTGATTTATTGGAAACTGTATGTTAAATTTGAATCAATTTAATTGAGAAGTGAAACTCTGTAGAAGGGGGATTTAACTTGTTTCTGATGCTTAGTAATGGTGGATGACATTTGTTTTTCGATATGAAATAACCTGTGTTAAATCACTGGGACTGAGTTAGTTACAAACACAAGAAGCTTCTTGTCAGAACCAGCAATGACTAAGCTGCCTTTGGTACCTATTACTCATGAAAATAGAGGTATTAGCTCGAGTGTTCCACAGAGTCCACTTGGAATCAATATAGAGTCAATTTACGACGAATTTCAGGAAGGCGAGGACAATTTGTTGTCAAGGGTTAGGAAAATTGGAACTTGTTTGATTTCTAGTGATGCTATTAGTCAGGAAGTCAAGGAAGATGATCCGGTGGCACTCACTAGCGACCATTTTCAGGATACCATATCTTCTCAATATGTGTCTAATGGTACTAGCAGCTTGTGCATTCGGGAATGTGCAGTTCTGGAAGCTAATTCTGAGACAATAGCAGTTGTTTCCATAGATGAAAATGGTGATGTTACTCATGGCGTTAAGAAACTTGTTTCATGGGAATCAAATATGAAGCCAGAGATAATCAATGATCTCATTTCTATTGAAGAAAATTGTGAGGCTAGAGGCATTGACGCATCAAAAATGACATTTTCTGCTTCCCTTCTTGAGGTTCCTGAGGAAGTGAAGACGAAATTGAATTTTCCTCCTCTTTGGGGATTCACATCTGTCTGTGGACGGAGGCTGGAGATGGAAGATACTGTCATAGCTTTACCTCGGTTCTTGACTATCCCTTCTCAACTGTTGACCGATAGGCCAATTATGAATGTCAGGCATCAAGATTTAAAAGCCCACTTCTTTGGAGTTTATGATGGACATGGGGGCCAGCAGGTCAAAGTTCCTTCATTCTTTGTTGCTAATTTTTCCTCTGTTTATTTCACTTCTCTTCATTACAGGTTTCCATATCCTTTTTGTTTTCGGTATACCTAGGTAATATGTATCTTTCTATGCATAGGTTGCTGAATATTGCCATAAACGCATTCATTTAGCAAATCGACTCCTCTAGTTGTAACGCTAAAAAAATTTGCATAATGGAATTGACGATTCTTGCAATCAGGAGGAACAGTGGATGAAGGTCTTTTTGAATTGTTTCCGTAAAGTTGATGATGAGGTTGGAGGATTCCATGGAGGAGATGGGGTAAGTGCTATGGTTGAACCTGTTGCTCCCGAGGCTGTTGGATCTACAGCCGTGGTTGCAATTGTTTGTCCAACCCATATAATTGTTGCGAATTGTGGTGATTCAAGGGCAGTCCTTTGTCGAGGAAAAGCGCCTATGCCATTGTCTATAGACCATAAGGTAAGAATTATATATGTAGAATACTGGTTTTGGGTTTTTTTTTGGGACAAGGTCATAAGTTAAGGATTATACTCATGTAATATTGCTCTCTGTATACATATTATTTTTCAAGACATAAATAAGTTTGTCTTCCCCTCTCTAAAAGCTTCAACTTTTAGATGAGGTGATTTGAGCTGCTATTATACCAGGTTCTGAATTCAAGTCTTGCCGTCATCCATTTATGAAGATTGTGCATGTATTAGGCATTTAATGAGAAAAATGGATCTGACATGAAATTAAGTGGCGTGTTGAAGACATAATTTAGACAAATAAGTTTGTCCTTCCTAAAAGCTTATGATTTTAGATGAGGTAGAAATTATACAATGACACAAGGATAGGATTGTGCTTGTAGAATATTGTACATCATTGTATAAAAATATCTTTAATTCCTCTGTCTTCCTACTCATGTTTTCAGCCAAACAGAGAGGATGAATACCTGAGGATTGAGGCTGCAGGAGGCAAGGTCATTAATTGGGATGGCTATCGTATTTCAGCAATGCTCGCAGTATCAAGGTCCATAGGTATGTTGATGTATTTGAAAAGAGTGATTTTGCTGACCTACTTTTCTAGAACCCTGCAGGAATTTCCGATAACATGGTATATTAGTGAAGCTGGTATACAGAATGGATTATGGACGGGTAACAAGAATTCATATAGTAGTAATAACTACGCACAAATGGTTTAGATTGTAGCATCAAACAATTTATGCTGATTTATTACGATCATTCCAATTCTAACTCTTGATTTTGTGATCTTCCACATTTTGGCTCTGTACCGAAGTGCTTGTTTAGATGAATCATAGAGTATTAATAGATTATCCACTTGTATGGTATTGCATTTTTGATAAACTCAGATATGTAAAAACAGTAGAATATCAGATAATTGCGAGAAGGTAATATTCAACCAAAATGCCGACAGTTACCATGCTGTGCCAGAAAGTATTATGGTTACTTTGTTATCTTCATTGTCTTTTAATTTTATTACAGCAATTTTTTTCTGAAATTTTGTTTGTAAGCTGCAGGGGATAGATATTTGAGACCCTACGTGATAGCAGATCCCGAAATCATGTTTGTTCCTCGAGCAAAAGAAGACGATTGCCTTGTTCTAGCCACTGACGGTCTATGGGATGTTATGACAAATGAGGAGGCATGTGATTTGGCGCGAAGGCGGATTCTACTGTGGCACAAAAAGAATGGTCCCACCCTGTCTAAAGAGAGAGGTGATGAGGTTGATCCTGCAGCTCAGGATGCAGCAGAATACCTCTCGAAGCTTGCTTTTCAGAGGGGAAGCATAGATAATATCTCTGTGATCGTAGTGGATTTGAAAGCTCAAAGGAAGTTCAAAAAGAAGAGTTAGGGTAATTGATTCTTGCTGTTACTTCCATTTCTTTTCAATGAGTATGGCTGAAAATCTCATTCAGTCGACATAATTTGAAAAATTGTGTTTCAAAGTTTAGCTTCGGAGTCTGCAGGCTAACTTTGTAGACAGACTTTTATGGATATATCATGTCTAATATAAGGGCATATATTGAAATTGTATCACTAAGAGAATTGCTAATTTATATTATGATTGGATTTCTCTGCATTCATATGGCACAAAATTCTGTGCTTTGAGATTTTGGACTTAATAGTCTCAAATAACTGGTGGTAACAAGAGGTTCATTATACAAGCTGAACTCAGAACCTGAGTTGATTTCCTTTATACTACCGACTCTCTGCAATGGGAGATCCTCACATTCTCTCGATCGATCGTTATTAAAAGTTGGACCGAACCTATACCTGGGCCTTTACCATTTGTTTACACCTTTCCAAGATATTACAGATGGACAATATCTGAGACCTATCAAAACCATCAATCTCAGTCACTTCGTTTCAGGGCGCGATTCTGCGCTCTAGCAGGGAAGAGAACCAAGACGAGAGATATTTGTAGCAGCATAGTATAACATATGTAGAGGTTGAATCAGCTCCGTAGCATTTTTTTTGTTCTAGAAAGCAAAAGAAAAACCCGATTAACTAGTTTTTACAATTGAACAGGAGCCTTTTCCAAGTTTCATCTCAGTTTTTAAATCTGGGATTCTGTATCAATTCCCAGTTTTTTCTGTTGAACGGGCAAGGTTAGGCCGGCAAGAGAGAAATGCATGATCATAGAGTTGTGAATTATCTTTACTCTTATTGTGAACTTGTACCCACTATCCTGCAATAACAGCCAACAGAAAAATCATAAATCCAGAGTCAAACACAAGCCTGCAACGTGAGATTGTACTTTGTAGATAACTTGTTAACAGTAACAAGAAGTGTCTTAAGCTGCATGGCACTCACTGGATTGTACAAACACGAAACAAATTCTCTGATAAGAAATTAGTTCTCTTATGTGCAACAAACACGGACTTCACATAGTTTTACCGATGGATACAGACTATAAAGAAATGAAACTACATTTTCTTTACTCTGTTTTATCCCATGAGCTAGATGGAGAGGGTCATGTACATTTTGACTTACGGTAGACATATAGATCATCCGTATGACGTTTACTCGGGTTTCGACCTGTTCACTTAAGTTTAAGCTCAGCCAATTGAAATTTCACAGACATCATGCCATTCGAGAGATTGACAATATATTGTCATAGGGGACAACGTCATCTTCACAGCAAGTTTGTTTGGTGATTGATATGGGAACTAGTACAACGACTGAAAAAGAAAACACTTAAATAAAAGTAAGTCTTCAAAATAACATAAGGATAGTCATTGCCAAACACAAGCAAGTACCCAATGATGTCCTTTCACAGTCGGCAATGTGGCGGCGAAGAGAAGAGGTTCACGACACAGGAGGCATGGACAAGATAACGATAGAATGTCTGATCAGAGAATAATGTAGCAGGTATGGTGGCTGTCTTCAGATGGTCAATTTGTAGTGGGATATTCGACAGAAGAACCTGATGATGGTGACGACAGTAGGACTGATGGATCACGATGACTGGAGATGAGTGCATAGGCGAACTGATGTAAAGCAAATTATGCTGAAACACAATATAATGCTACTTCTATTAACTACTTCACAGTTTTCACCTGTTATGGACAAGTAAGAGGTTTATCTGCCTTTCAAACCTTTTTAGAAAGTTTACAGTTTACGTTCCAAGAGGATGCGAGGCTAGCTGGATTACTCAGCTACGAGTCATGAGCCAATTCAAAAATCAGTATCCCTCCAGCCATCTAAATGAGTAAATGTCGGCCGATCTACTTCAAAACTCAGCTTCAAAATGCAGTGTGAAAAAATCCGTTTGTGCACTATTTTTAACTTTTATTATCTAGATACACTAAATTGGTTAAGTTTGTCATCTCCCCGACTCCCAGTAACTTTGAAAGAAGGTGTACCTCCTTTTGTAAGGGGTCATAGTGATCAGGCTCAACAACTCTTTATCAAAAATACATATATCGTCAAAGTTGTAAGATCATGTATGAGGACTGATACATCTAGTATTGTCAAGGAAGTTGTTGACATGATGACAAGAGAATTGACATTGAAGTTCCAGTGAACAGTAATTGTAACTATAATGGTACTAAAGTAGCAAAGTCAGTTGTTGTCAGGTGCATCTTGACTCACACATAAGGTGTTACAATTTGACTGTGTCTCAAAAGAGAAGCTCAGTGAGATAATATGTTTGTAAGGTTGCACACTTGAATAAATTTGAAGAGACTTTGTGAAGCTTCACTTTCCTTGAGATTGATTTTGGACCTTTCTCATCCAGCACTCACATCGTGTTAAACTCGGAAATATAAATTGTCTCATTACTATAAAATTATAGTGCCATGGGGCAATAAAAAAAAAATTTACTACTTAAAAATTAATCCAAAAATGAAAGGTAATGGATGAAATTTGTAAATTTCTTAGAATTGTAACTCTTTTAGGTGAAACGACAGATGTAAATATAACGTTACTAAAGTAGCAAATTTCCTTCTTGTGTAAGCTTCAACCCGAAATTGTTACAATCGACATGGTCTCGGAGAGAGACGATGTGAAATAGATATGTCTATGAAGATGTAAAACTATTTGCACCTGAACACACGTAGAAAGACATTATGAAGCTTCATTATTTCTTGAGATTGGGTTTCAACCTTTTGTCGTGTAGTTTAAATAAAATGCCATGGGTTCACATCGCACGAAACTTGAAAACATAAATTATCGCGTTACTATAAATTACAATGTTGAGCCACAATGAAGGGCAAAAAAAAAAAAAAAGCTTTTACTATTATTTAAAAGTTAATCCCATAACATAAGATAATAGATGAAATTTGTAAAAATAAATAAATAAATAAATTGGACTTGTAAGTTGTAACTCTCTTAGGTGAAACATATATTTTGGTACTTCTTTCTTTTGAATCTCAATAGATAAAAATAAAATTTTCAATAATTATGGTCTGCCATTGTTTGGTAGGGATTATCAAATTTTAATTCAGGTTAATAATTAATTTTAATCATATATTTTACTGAATCTTCAACTTTTAATTATACATTTTATCAACTTTTATAAAAATCTACTTAAAATTTTTATTTCAGTAGTTATAAAATTGGTAAAATTAGATAACAGGAAGGGCCAAGGGGGGGAATTAAATTGCTCTGTTGTCACCCGGTGGGTAGATTGATCGTTCAGAATTTGACGTTTGATAATATTGT